TTACTACTCCGGCCTTTTTATGAGATTGAGGCTAGCTAACCAGCTATGCTAGTGTGTTGTGAGAATGATACTAGGCCATCCCTTGGCTCAAACGTACCACCCTGATTGATGCTGGCTGTCTCTTTTACAGCCTGGAGGCGATGCTAATGCTTTCCTCAAGCCTCCCATGTGAACTCTGTCCAAACCAAAACCTTCACTGATGCAGAACATCCTATAAGCTAGTCCTCAGTACACCTTGATTAAAGACATAAGATACCTTTGACAGCCTAAGGCAAATGGTATGTCAAGCTAGCTTCTATGCAAAACCTTTTAAAGCTCCCTCTAGACAAGGCTTTTAAAGGAACTACTGCATCATTTAACACTTTAGCACATTGTTTTTAGGCCCATTTAATATTCCAAATGCCATTCATATTCCTTTAAAAGAGCATTTGACCATTTTTTCAGAATCTAAATATTACATATTTGTGGAATTATTAATGGAGCTATATTGAAACTGTAACTCTGAGTGGTTGATTAATGGCTTAGTGGTGTTTTATATGTTATTGTACACTGAATATGTTGATTTCTTGTTTAGGTTCTTTGTTTTTTATTTGTCATATCTAGGGCCGTGTTCAAACAGACTTTACACAGCAGTCAGTGATGTATTGGTAGAAAAACTGATCCTATCATTGCTTTAATTCAGAGATTTTTGGGACATTTTCCAGCCACTATGGCTAAGAAGTTCTGTAATTATTTTATAGCCTAAAGCTAAAGCCTACCCTAAGTGAACCACAGCTTATAGTGCAAATGACCTAATGCAATGTGAGGTTCATATAATACATTTTTAGCCGAAGGCTTTCTCTTATGAAACTGACTTGCACAAGGAACAATCTCTATCCAGGCCCAGCAAAGCATTAAGGACTAACTGTTGGAAAAGCATCATGGGTTAGACTGCCAGCCTAACCAGATCTCCTGGGAAAGGTGCGGTGGGGAAATGTTTACAACATTCCTGGCAGTGATTCTCCTACAAACATCATTTTACCTTCTGACAAGAAATGTCACAAAAGTAATCGATGTCTTACATTTTTCCATGTACACCATAGCAATTCAGAAGTCTAGAAAAACATTGCAAAATGATTTTATTATTAGTATTATCTGGAAACATATCAGGGGTCATACTGTAGGTGAGGTGTCCAGTCAATTCCATAGAGAGGTTAGCAAATCTCTCAAATGATTTTGAATCAATTGTGACAAAATGCCCCGGAAACTTGGCAGAAAAAAGGGCAAAGATATTTGGGTAAATGGCTTCTCCGGCTGGCGTTGTGGCTTGGGCGGTACACCAACCCAAAGAATAAAATGTTTTGCAGTTTAGCGTCAAGGCCCTCATGGCAGATCCATTAGTCATGGCTGATGGAACAGGGGGGGTATTCCCCCCATATTTTCCCCCTTTGACACTGTGACAACAGAGTGGAAGGCTAGTCGCTTGAATTTACATTGTCTGAGATGATGCTAGACAGTGTGAAAGAAAACATGAGTGGGATTACTACTCATGAGGCCAAGTGTTCCGCACATCAATTCACGATCAATGCACAAAAAATTTCATTGATTTGGAATGCCCTGATTTAGAACTACATGGTAGACCTATCAGAGAGAGAGAGAGAGAGAGAGGAACTTGGTACAGTACTAATACTGGACCTAACCACGATGAATAAAACCTAAATAATTTCATTGTTATACATTTGGTACACAAGTAAGGTTGGCCATGCACATCATTAACTGTCTACATTAAGATGTACATTTTGTAAATTGAGATATGGGCCTCGCAACGGATGTCTAAATCAGAACACTCATCAGAATGGACACACCGAAACCTTTTCAACTTCATATTAAAAACAAAGAGACCTGATCCGAAACTGATAGATTGTTCGAAATTGTGAACTTGTAGCCCAACAAAAACCTCCATGTGTCAGAAGTCATATCTTGGATCAGATTTTGGGATGACTCTAGGACTGACCTGTTGCTTAAATACTTTGAGGTGAGAAGAAGATAAGAAAGTCCCCTTAGATATTTACCATTTCCTGTACCTGTCTTTTGGTCTTTCCATCCCCGTCGACCCTGACTAAATTATCCTGACAAGGATGGAATTCGTTTTGAAACCGGTATTCAGGATCCCAAGAAGATGGATCTAAACAGGGTGATTCCGTCACTTAGTGTTTAGCAACATCCCAGGCTTGACATGTTAAGTAGAACGTGTTATTAACTGCCAGATGGATTGCCATGAGGTTTGGTATAGATTTCCAAGCTGCCTTTAGAAAATACCGTAACTTCTTTGGTGATCCTTTTGCCTTTATTTTCTGTAATTACTTGATAGAGTGTCCCACTATTTGATACAGGCATAACGATCCCCAGAAGATGACTCCTGGTTACTTAGATAATAACATGACTGTTTGTAATTTGAAAAAAAGATGCATTGCCATGGAATTTAAAACACTGTTTTAATCCTATAAACTCTTACTGTTTGTTTCGCAAATCACACAAGGTTGGCCTTAAGGAGACAGACCATCTTAACCTATTCCTTAACTAGTTTACAAGAGGAATCTACAAGTATTCAGGAATGTCATCAAGTATCCAACACAGGTCTGTGGCTGGTAAAACACATCGACCTTTCCTCTCAGCCTCCTTCCTATCACTGCCTCCTCTTACTCCAACACACCATATAATTTTACTGGTCACATATGCAGATTTATTTTCTCCAGCTGGGACATTCCTCACTCCAGACACTGAAGGTTCCCATGTTCGAAAGGGAACCATAGGGAGAAAACCAGGACAGTGGCTCAGACCATTCCCCGACTCCTCTCTAAGGGGCAATTCCAGCTTGTCCAGCCCCCAATCCGACTCTGTGCTTCATAAATCTTATTTTAGCGTGGCAGTTTCTAAATACCTATCTTGGGATAGGTGGACATGGACTTCACACACCGTTGGAAAAAACCATTGGACACAAACTCACCCACAGTTAAACTGTGTCTCATACAATGCTTAAACCAGAACCAGGTTGTACTGTGACAGGAGTCCTTTTTGACACACTCCAACAAACAGCTGGGTGTAGACTTACAAGGCAATGACTTCTCACTGAGGCAAAACAACAACATCCAACTCTGGAGTTGAACCCACTATTATGACAGGTCAAGCCTGCAGACACTTAAAACTGGTGGAAATATCCTGTGTTTGACTGGGGAACTAAATATTAATGTATGAAACCATCTGTGAAGGAACAGCATTTCAATTAAAAAAGTAGATAAAAAATTGATTTGTGCTTCTCTTGGAGAGGATTAAAATACATCACAGTACTGACTTGGATGTTAAAGGAAATTAGCTGGAATAGCCTTTGGGACTGTCACTGTCCCTTTGTTGAAAACGTCAAAGGAAGTTAGCATGCGCAGACCAGGAGGCTGCAGTAAAACCTTGAAAGCAGAATGGGGGTTGTAGGATATTATACAAGCTCTCAGATGTGTTTGTCTTGGCATAGACTCCCAGTGATGTCGTCATCATCATCATCAGCATGGCTGTTGCTCCACTTCTTTGGCCCAGTAAATGACGACAGCACACATATCCAGCTCTTGGGCAGGAACTCAAAAGAGTTGCTCATATTGTTGTAACAACTTCAATCACGATTTCATGTGAATTATTCAATAAGAAGCCTCAGACTAGGTCTGGTGAGCAGATGCTGTCAGGCCAGAAAAATGTCCAACAGTCCATGATGCATGTTTCTTTCTCCAAAGAGTTTCTGGTAATGAAAAATTGCATTAGAAAACAAACGGATTTCCCCTGAAGTCAGAAGCTTACAGGAACACTTCTCAAAATCTCACAGAGCTAGAAGTCGGAAATGAAGACATCCAACTTTAAAGTGAATCTTAAGAAGACAACAACTTCCTTGAATACAAGATTGTGCTAAAGCCGCATCATAAAAATAAAAAAAACCTTTCTCTTGCAACATCTTTGCTCTTTCAAAATCTTCATTTAACAATTATCTCATTCATGCTGACAGGGAAAAAGTTGAAAATGTGCCAAATGCAAATGTAAATCATACACAAAGGCGACAAAATGACAAGCCTGTTCGATGCTAAACCTGACTCATAAAGGGCACATAATCACTCGAAGATGTGGAAGCCAAGATATCTTCAAGACGAATAAATTCACACGTAATCAGTGCAGAGATAAGGGCTGAGAGAATGATGGGATGGGGTTTTTTTTTTTGCCCAGCTTTCTCTTGTGCAAGCTGCTGGCTGTCAGTTTCTGCTTGCATTGAGATCCTACAAGGATTGCTACACAGAATTTCTTTATCAGGACGTGAGGTGAAAAAGTGAAAAAAGAGGGCTACCTTTGTACTGATGCAAATCCTAACATTTGAACAAATTCTGTCCCTGGAGTTCCCTGTATACACATACTAGAACCAAACGAATGTTGGCTTCACCTTGACACCCTGGCTTTAATACAGAAACAGAACCAACCAATTAAACACCTCAATTCTCCATTTTACAAGCAAGAATAATTACATCCCATTTGAACCCGACATTCTAACTGAAAAAGGCAAGAGACTGGAACTTAGCCATAACACTACCTTTCCTCTGAACCCACCCCTTAACTAACTGCTGCCGGCCTTACAGCAACTCCAGCTGGTGCCAAGCCCCATGCTCGGAGATCAAGAGATTGGGAAAAGAGGGGGACCGGGGGAACCCTATGCAGACAAAGTGAGAAAAGGAGGGAGCAAAGTCACAAGAAAGTGAACATGACTCTTTGAGAAGTGTGTTTACTCAGATAGAGATAGAAATATCAGGAAGCAACAGACAACATTTCAAGCAACTTTTAAGGACATGTCTTTTTTTTAAAAGCTAACTTTTCACATAGTTTTTCTTGAATCATGTGTCATAATGATGTTCTTGTGTGGATCTCAGTTCATAGATGATTGTCAAAGTTCAACAACGACACGTATGGTTAAAAATACAACATAATAATCCACTTACCGCTTTCGCTCTTCTCGATCACATCCACCGTCTCGCCAGCTTTAAGGCTTATCTCGGAGTTCTCCTGCCTCTCGTAGTTGGCCACGGCCACGTACTGCTCCAGCACCATGGGCTCCGAGCTGTCAATCCCTGAGGGGAAGAAACAGGCTGTCAGCCACCTGCCTGCTGTTGCACCCCGCGAACGCCCGCTGCAACCAACTAAGCTGCTGCCGCCGTGCACCCTGTACGCTGCCATGGGCCAGCCCCGGCACCCTGCCACCCCGACCGATCACAACGCAAGCTCACGACTTGGCTGCATAGTCCCAAACATCTGGCCATATAGCTGAGTCGACCCCCGGCCCACAGCAAAGGACTGGGGAGCATTGGAAGGCATCAAAACAAACGCAGGGTGCGGAAAGGAAAAACTTTATTCGGGCTGCATCTTCAATCTAAAGGGGGATCCATGACCTCGAGCAAACTTTTCAAATCCAAAAAGAAAGAAGGTAAAAGAAAAAGGAAAGAGAAAGAAAGCTGTGTGTGGTTGGTCGGGGAAGACTGGGGAGCAAATGAGTGGAAGAATGGTGAAGTTTCCTTGTGGAAAATCAACAGTGTAGTTGAGAGGAAAGGCCTCCCCTCTGCTGCCTGTGGGACACAGCCGTTGGACAGAGAGTCGGGAAAGGGGGGTGAACACACCAATCATGGTAGTCAGCACTGCTGGCCTTAAATAGAAACATATGAGTAGAGTAGAGAGAGGGAGAGAAACAGGGAAGGAGGCAGGGTCCATGTTTATGTGAAACAAAAGAAGAAAGCATTTCTGATGGGGTTAGTCTGCTCTGTTTTCTCTCTCTCTCTCTCTATCCGTGAAGTTTAACCTTTTCAATGCCAGCAGTGGTTTCATTATTAAGTTCATGTGATACCTGATGTTAGTTGCAGGTATGCTTTCTTAAGTGTCTTGCTGCAGAGCGATGACCCATGTACATTTCAACTGATGATGCTTGTGACCTGTTGTGTTTTGTTGATGAGGTGTCTTAGTATGACTGTATCATGGATGAGATAAACAGAAAGTTTTATGTGATGAGGAAGAAGTTGATGTTGTTTGCATTCAAACGGTACAAGAAAGACCATGAAATAATTTGCATTTACAAAAGCAGATTGTTCCTATTCACTGTTCATACTTTTACCGAGTGGGCAGGGGTGATGGATGAGTCAAACAATGCTGGATATTCACCCAGGAGAGCAGGGATCGAGTCCAGTGTTGAAACAAAAAGTCAACATTGAGTTATTATTTCAACCCACACCATGATGTGATTCCTAAACTTAACCTCATTTTTTTTCCCCCATGTGAAATCTTAACCAAATGGACTGTTTCAAGTTAGCCAAGTGAACAACAGCAGAAAGTAAAGGAGGAATATAAGCCGTAAAACAGCTGTTTACAGACAGTATGTTGTGCGTCTGTATGAGACACTTAAGGGGGGTTGTTGTTGACAAAGAGTTGTATTTGATGACCAGAATGTGAAAAAAGTTGATACCGATATTTTTTGCACAACTTATCGACATATCACATAGAATTCTATAAGGATAACTGAAAAAAGGCACATGTTCATTCATGGCTGTAATTTGTTGAAAGGCAGATTTTAAGAAGAGAAGAGTTAAAATTGTAGCAACAAGGTGATCATAAAAACATGGAATCAATGACTCCATTCACTAACCACATCACTGATATTTTATGACTTATAACAAACTGTTCCGAGTGACTCATTGTAGGGCCCGACCGATATGTGATTTTCTGGGTGCAATATCGATACAAGGGAGGGAAAAAAAATCTGACACGTGTTTTGCGTTGATCCCTCAAATGTAGTTATCAAACACTTGTGGAAAAGTAATACAGCATAACGAATAAAAGACGGTCACTCAACTGGTAACTAACTGTGCATGTACCTTACTGTTTGACACTCTGAAGAGTGATTTTCGTAATCCATATAACATATTCTGCTGGTGAAAGAAAAACTGCTAGTGTAATACAATGAAACTCAAATGAAACGCTTTTAGAATGGTGAATAAATCGAGCATTATCGGTACATATCTGGGATAAAAAGTAGCCGATACTGATAGTAAATTGGTATGCTAATATCGGCTGGCAGATAAATCGGTCGGGCTCTAATTCATTGTGACATTCTCAAACACTCTTTTGAAATAAATGACTCTTACAACAATATTCATGACAACTAGTTCACTATTTGATTAATGTTCAATAATTACAGACCATTATAATTATAGGGACACAATTATAAGCTGTGTTAGCACTAGAGTTTAGATTCTCTGCCCGAGCCTGAGCCTGAACCCGAACTTGACTGGCGGGGTCGGGTCAATATTTCATGCCACTATCCTCGGGCTGGGCCGGTCCTTGATCATGCAAGTTTGTTTGAGCTGAGCAGACCGAAACCGAGAAACAGAGTGTGTGGAGAGGGAGTAACACACACGCTCACACATGAAGTTCAACACAGGGAAATGGTACCATGTAGCAGCTGATAGGGGACGTGGTCCACAAAGCAGCAGGTTCGGCAACAGGGAAGCGGTTCGTATCAGCAAAGTATCAGACAGAGAAACACGGTCTGGAGTGGGCGTAACAACACATACAGTCAAAGAAGCACAGCTCAGTGTACGGATACACTCACACTGATAGATCAGAAACACCAAACAGCCCGAGGGACGAGCAGACAGTTTGTAAAAACTGTTTGTTTTTTAAGTGTTTTATCCATGTTTATATCCATATCTTATTCCTATAGCCCATAGCCTACATGCTTCTGTGTAGCGCTCATTTAGATCTCATCTGAACAGATTTCTGGCATTTAGACAAATTAAACCTTTCATTATAAAAGCCAACTTATTAAAATAAATGTTGGGTTTCCGTCGGGTTGGGCTGGGCTTGGACAGAACGTGCACACGGGCTCAGGTAGGGGTCGGGCTGGATTTTTTTGGGCCTGATCTACGCTCTAGTTAGCACGCACCTTTACAGCACCTTTAAGCCCTAACAGTTTTTTCACAATTACAATCTTTCAGGAGTTTAATATATTAAACTTATATTAATATAAAATAGTCCAGGGAGAGCATTTAAAGTTTAGTTTGAGTTAATGCAATAAAAGCTACTGATCCAGAGGACTTAATCACAGCAGTTTCTTTAGAACAAAGAGGAATAACAGTTGTAATGAAAACTTAAAAAAAAATAGGACTATTAACTCCCAGGAGAACATTCTGGAGAAATACACTCTCTACTCTTTAACAAGTGAAGAAGATAACTATTTCAGCTGAAGCCACATTAGGATAAAGACTAGAGGCGAGGGAAAACTGACTATTTATACAATCAAAACATGAAGCCTACAAAACATCTCTGCAGCTCAGTAATTAACATGTTGACAAAAGAGAAATGTTGCACAATGTCTTGTAACGCTTTCTTTGTTGGCATAAACAGCCAGGCAGGAGAAACTGGAATGACCCTATGATGCCTGACAACCTGAACTATTGTTGGAGATGCTGCACTTTACTTTATTGTGCTGTCAGATTCACTTCTGTTCACCAGAAAGTGTTTCATCGATTACTTTAGAGGTGCTTTTGGTATATTTTTAATTCAAGATGTTTCCTCTACCAGTGGATTATCATGTCTCAACTTCATCATTTGAACAGGTTTTCTATTTTAACTTAAAAGAAAAAGCATTTAATGTTATTTTACAACTTGAAAAGCTACTTTAAAATAAGCTTTCACCAACCTTCTCTGTGATTTAATACATGAAGCTAAGGATAAGGTGTTATATATATGAATGCATTAACACACTTATTCAACTTTAACATTGGCTGTATCAGACACAGTGGCCTGATTTGCGTTGTTTTTTTTAGCAGTGCAAAAAAGCTCAAAATTTTCACCTAGAGTTCAATATATTATCTTAAATCATGTCTTAGCATTGTATATATGTCAACAGAACACTGACTATCTGACTGAGAACAGACATCCAAAAAAAAAAACATCCAAGGAAAACATCTCTTTGTTGCAATCGATATGTAGCAGCAATGTAACAATCAATCATCCATTTCCAAAGTGAAATGAATTGCAATCCCCCCCCCCCCTTTAAATCATTAAACTCTGTTTGCAGCAGGTTAAGTAAAAGAAAAAAAAAGCCTTTGTTATTTTTGAGGCCTTGGAGTCAGTTCTTGTGCTTGGCTGGCTAGCACCTGGGTATCTGCTAACTCTAATCATTCCAGATGTTTATTGGTAAGCAGATATTTAGAAAAAGGTCAAAGATATGTCTTGGTCAGCTGACATTATGGGGCTGATATTGGCATATTATGACTATACTGCAGCATCTGTTTTCAGATACATGTTTTTCGGGGATACATGTTCTCAGATATTTGCCTGTTTCTAAAGAACATGCAGAAAACTAAACTCTAGAAATGCAATCATCACTGTTTGTCAAAAAAGCTTGCTCAGATTTCCTTTTTTTAAACCCTCTGAGCACATATCGTATCATATTAAGACTTTGTAACATTCCTAAATAAAGTTATTTATTTAAGTAAGCAGCCTTCTAAATAATGAGCAAAAATGATTTACAATCAGTAAAGAAAAAGCCTTTTTTGCTGTGTTGTATATTTCTACTTTAAAACATTGTTCTATCATTAAAAAAATCCACATCTGTCCGGCTGAATTAAAGATGCTGATGTTTAAAAAAATATATATACAGCATACATAAAGGCTGCAGCAAAGACACAATGGCGAGATAAGTCACTGATATGGAAAACCACGAGAGCTGTCTAATTGCTTTGGCTGAGAAGAAAAGAAAGTTTCAAACTTTGTCAGCAAATCTTCCCATCTTCCCGCTGTCGTCTACATCAGAGATAATAGATTCTCTGCAGTCAGCCTCTTTGTCATTTAGCAAACGGGGATCAGACCTTGAACATGATTTGTGTTTTGTACGAGTTAGGCTGAGAGACAATCCTGCATGTCAGACAACACTGTCCTTTAAGATCTCAGAGAGCGGCTCACATCTATATGCTGCCTCTTCACAGTGGGCCTTGTAATGACTTTATGGGAATTAAACAGGTTGCAATGCAGTCATGCATTTAAACAGCCTAATGGGATAAAAAAGGCTGCAGCTTTTTTT